GTGTACTCCTTTAATAACCTTTACGACATTGAGGGTACATATAGCACAGTCATGTTTCTGATAAGTCTTGCTAATTGAACGCTGTATTCCGTTCTTAAGCTATTCTCGTAGCCCCCAAGCTAGAACTACACAGCGACCTGAACACGAGAGAAAAGGCGCAAAATATGCGAGGAGCACTTTACTCCAAAGGTTCGTTTTAGTACAGAAAATATAGGGTTTTTATAGTATCTTAGATGTCCTCGGGATGCTACTAAACATAGTAGCAGCATAGTAATCAGCCAATCAGAAACTCTACATGAGACTTTTCACTTTCTTGATGTTTCTGGCTAAACTTCAAGTGAACACTGATTACATAAAATGCTTCTTAGTGTTTCCTTATCCTTTCTCGTCTTTTGCGAGTTTGCTGTACCACCCCGACAGTTCCAACAGCAGCTAATGGGACTGACAAACCAGCTGGCATCCTTATGAGCGACAATAGCCACTGTACAAAACGGTCGACGTGGATCACCGGCTAGGAAAGATCCATTTGGAAGCAGCGTTCCCGACGACCTCAGCAAGCTTCCGAAATCTGTTGGTATCACCGAAAATATGACACAAAATCACGGCGTTGCACACGACCGTGTTCGTTCACACCAACCAATAATGAGAATGCATGAAACGTGCCAGCCAGGCAGTAATGGCGGCGCCTGTTACTGGCCATAACACAAGCCGTCTTTTTCGTATCAGAGATCGTATTTCTGGCTCAGATTTTTTAGTCGATACAGGAGCAGAGATCAGCATATTCTCACCTCAAATTTCACGACGACGGCACACCGTGAGTAACAAGTTGTCACTCATGGCGGCAAACAAAACTGTCATCGAAACCTATGTAGAGCAATCTCTAATTTTAGACCTCGGATTCCGAAGACGGTTCACGTGGGTTTCTACAGTTGCCCAGGTCAAACAACCTAGTCTCAGAGCCGACTTTCTCGAAGCTTACGACCTGTTAGTAGACATGAATAAAAAGAAACTGGTCAACAAGAATACGCGTCTACAGGTGAATCGTACGATCACTACCAACTGCGAAAGTCAAAGTGTTTGAATAATACAACCAGTGAACAAAGTTTTCACCGACGTCTTGTCGAAGTACGAACGCATCACAATGATTGATTACCAAAATGAATGCGCCTTACACCATGTCAAGTCAGTCAGTAACAGCGTGGAACTTCGTATGTACGTACATCAGTTCGAGTTACCATACCACATTAGCACAGAGATTCAGTTATCGATTCAAATCCCATAGTGGTAGAGGTACTGGAAGTATAAGTAGAGATAGGGGACATTAAGGTTTGATGATGTTATTAAAGGAGTATAGTCCAGTGGAATAAACTGGGAAAGAAAATAAAGGACATGAAGAATTCAGAAGATTAGAGTTTGAGAGAACACAAAGAGTGGATGCACCTGTGCACACCATTGCAAACGATTTTGAGCCATGTCATTCAAGGTCTCTAACCATCGGTTGCTATCATCTAGCGGACCCCAACCAGGTAGTCTACACTTATCAACATGGTTCAGTCCACTTGTCAGTGACTTCATGGATTTGTGCCATGTTTTGTTGTAGCCGCCCCTAGCTTTCTTCCAACCTACTCCTACGCCATAAAGCATCGCACGTCGGGGCAGTCGGTGGTCGGGCATAGGCAACACATGTCCCAGCCATCTCAACTGATTAAGTTTCACTACTTCATCAATTGATTTACCATCCTTACCTAGTACCCGTTTCATAACAACTGCATTACTTACTCGGTGGTCCCAGGATATACGAGCGATGTTTCGAAGACACCTATGGTCAAATACTAGTAACCTACGAATATCCTCTACTCTTACTGGCCATGTTTCACTGCCATAGAGTAGGACGGAACGAACTGCTGCGCAGTAAACACGTCCTTTGGTTGATAGACGGACATCTCGCTGATGATACTTCCCAGATAAGTGGAGCGCTCGACACGCTCAACAACTTCACTCCCTATCATTAGTTCGGGTTTCGATGCAACCCAATCCTGAAGCAACATTTTGCACTTCGAGGGAGAAAATCGCATGGCGAACATGCCTGCATTGTTGCTCAGAGTGGTCAGCAGACTCTGCATTTTGTCAGCGTCTTCACTAAATAGAACTATATCATCGGAATATTCCAAGTCAACAAGTGGATTTCCCCTAAATGCCCTGGTATGGCCGGGAGTGGGGAGCGTCCGCTCTCCCTCTCAAAATGCTCTCACATGGCCACGCGTATATAGCCTCTGCCAGGAAAGTCCTACTCACTGCCTTCTCGTGGCGCGAGTGTTGTTTACGAAAATGAGAGGACGAAAAGCGAATGTCCGGCGCTTTAACCGGATCCCAAACCAATGGTGCACATGGGCTCCAGTATCCTGAAGGAACAAATGGCGTATGAACCAATTTCTTGGTCACCGGCTACCATGGGACTGCATCTCCTTACGATGCTCTACTGCCTTGTGGATCAGACGTTCAGGTCGAAGGCTCCGGGTGTGATCCCCTAAGCAAACCACCTGCTTCGGTTTGGGCACCCGGGCAGTATCACAGCCCTCACACATATCAAATGAGATCTGTGTGGCGCATATGTATTTGGTGCCTTCTTGTACCGATATCTATGTGTTAAAATAATAATAATAATTTCCCGGTAGAAGTTCAACCCCTGGAAATTCAGATGAGGAAAATGTCATCTCTAAAAGCACGTCAATGACAAAGTTAAACAAGAATGGAGAGAGTGAACAGCCCTGACGAACACCACTTGAGGTAATCAATTCTGATGACAGTTTGCCATAAGCTCTCACTCGACCAGTTGTGTTCGAGTAGAGAGCCTTTATAAGGTTAATGTACTTTTTTGGTACTTCCTTCAGTGACAAACACTGCCTTAGAACCTCACGATCAACAGAGTCAAATGCCGCCTAGGGGCAGGTCCCGCATGGCCTTTTTGTGGGAGGTCCATATGCAAACCTGTACCTATCCCTTTCTCAGATCCATCTATTATTTGCGAGGTCTAAATGTCATTCATAAGAACTCAAACAAACCAAAAGGTGTGATGGTGGTTGTTTTTTAATAACTTCCGGTTGCAACGGAATTTCATGATACGCTCTCACCAGGTCAAGTTCCGAAAAAATCTTTCCATGTAGATTCAAGGAAAAGTCGTGTAGATGAGGAATTGGGTATCTGTCTGGAAGGGTTTGATTATCGTTGGGAACCGGGAGTCAGGAAAAACTAAGAAGCATTTTATGTAATCAGTGTTCACTTGAAGTTTAGCCAGAAACATCAAGAAAGTGAAAAGTCTCATGTAGAGTTTCTGATTGGCTGATTACTATGCTGCTACTATGTTTAGTAGCATCCCGAGGACATCTAAGATACTATAAAAACCCTATATTTTCTGTACTAAAACGAACCTTTGGAGTAAAGTGCTCCTCGCATATTTTGCGCCTTTTCTCTCGTGTTCAGGTCGCTGTGTAGTTCTAGCTTGGGGGCTACGAGAATAGCTTAAGAACGGAATACAGCGTTCAATTAGCAAGACTTATCAGAAACATGACTGTGCTATATGTACCCTCAATGTCGTAAAGGTTATTAAAGGAGTACACTATGTGGTAAATAAACTGACGAGTCAAGTAAAATAGACAATCTAACAAATAAAATAAACACGGGGCTCAGATAATTGTGGTGGACCAAAAATTAATGTTATAATATACCAATTACAATTTATAAACACAAAGAAAAGTTATGAGACGTTACTTAAATCAGCAGACTCTGGCGTGTTCAAGTTGCATTTAGTATCAGAATCCACAATTATAGATAATTAATAATTTTTATGAGGTTGTTATGATCCCAGTGACATAGCCAGACGTAGAATATAATGGAGATATGGCTGCAGTCTATAAATGTAGAACGAGAGACGTGTGTGTAGTAGTGTATTTATAAGCAGTTAACAGCGTGTCATGCTATGAGCGACACAAAACGGGAGAGTGAGTTCAATGTCATGCACTTAAACAACTTTTACAATAATTTCGTAGTAAATGTACAAACTGAAAATTAACAAAATAAATGCAAAGATTATCAAAAACCATTTACAAAGTAAGTTAGTCGTGCGTATCTTCGCAACCTCGAGTTAACATACCATAGCTCAACCCTCCGTTCCGTTTAAAGTTAGGTTCCTTCCTCGACCGCACTAACAGTTCGTGAGACTGAGCCGTCGTCCCACTGAAGGTGTTTGGGTATGGTGGGTAACTTGATGCCGGTTTATCTACTCCTGTGTTCTGTTTAACGATTTCACCTCTTGGACTGAGGTAATAGTGATCCCGTTTTTTTGCAATGGTCTTACTACGAGTTATTTAATACCTATTTCCGTGAGCAGACGTCTAGTGTTACTTGTCGCCTTCCTGATTATTTTTACTTCCATTGCCTATCACTGCATACGATCGTCCCGCAACTACTTTTTCAGTTTACACTAGAGTCGACTTGCTTCGTCATCCCAATAAACAGTCAAGATGTACTTCGGATCTCCTCATAAGTCCATAACTATGAAATTACTTTACAAATTTCATCCCGGTAATTCGCCTTACCTTTTCCGATCATGTATTCTACCGCTAACCTCTTTCTCCTATTAGTGACAGCACTACTACTTTTGTTAGGACAGTGTTCATTTTACTGTACTGCTACGTCGTGGGAACTCAGGCGGATGAACATGTGGGCAAGGTTCTGAGTTGTTTATCGTTGACTTATACATAAGGAGAAATGGTTAATCAGTGACCTCTAACTAAACTATGCTTATCTGCAACTTATCAAAATCAAGACTATGTATAAACGTAATAGCACAACCAGCCATGTTTACTGAATGCACCAGAATGTCAGAAACTTTACAATGCCAGATTGTTATAATGAGTTAGTACTCAGTGAATCCATGTAAGTCAACTGCTATTTAGTAAGCCAGACTGTGAATGACCTTTCCAGAGCTCCTGAAGCTCAACCTTGCAGTTCAAGTCCCGAAGAGCTGCTTTAGCTTCATCACAACATGATGGGATTTTTAATGCAGAATTGAGCAGTTTTTCTAAACCAGTGTCAGTGCCAGAATCGGATGTCAGAAACGAAGACCGTAATTCTGGAGATCGTGAGACACAGTTACGTATAGCTCTACATGCGGCTCGAACAGTTGAGGGATTGGATGAATGAAACTCGAGCGTCTACAACAGAAAATAACTGTATATAAGCATACAATTTAAGATACAAAGTTAAAAATAAATAAGTGATTTAGTCATTGATGTGAAATATTGAGAAAAGCAATCCCGCTAAAAGGCAACAGGCTTGAGTGGATACTTATGAAATATCTTCGTTTATTAGAAGCACGTAAATACTGTGACAATCATAAAGGATGAAGGGTTGAGGATGAGTGAAAACAAATGTGACATAATCAGTACACATTAGCAGAACTACATTTTAAATTTTCTAGTAAAAGATCAAGAAGGAAATTTGCATATTCAATCCAAGTAAATTAAGGAACTAATATTTATACGCTGGTGACCTGTAGACAATAAATCCTACGACTAAGAAACACTATTCATCATATACACGTACATCACTACAGGTTCTCATAGTTATGAGACGGATAAACAGAAATGAGAACAAGACAAAAGAGTGAAAAGAGGGACCGAACACGCGTTAAGTATGATTAGTGTAATAACGATCGAACCAATATTTGTGGAAAAAATTATGTCTAACGCATGTCAGTACTCAGAAAGCAATCATTTACGTAGATCAAATTCCTAAGTAGTTGAAGGATAGCACAAAGAACGATAATATATATGGTTCTTTAAAAAAGGGCTTCCATTCAAAACGTTTTCAAAGGACTCAACGCAATATTCAGTAACTTCCTGCATATATACTGTATTGGCTATTCTTATTCCATTCAGTATCACATTTTGGTAGTACGCCATGGTTCGGCAAGCGTCACCTACCACATCGAACAGTACCTATTTATAACGTTAATATTGATGACTGACCAGAGTAATGTAGAAATCGGTAGGATAGAGTATTACTTCACATTCCTATACACCACCGAAAATAATACTTCAGAAAACCAATTGTGTTAAAACACTAAAAGGAACGTGGAAGGAAACAAACAAAGGAAATGATGGTAATACTTCCAACATTATTAGAGATGAGGAGTGAATTGATTTTTGATTCGCATCACTTCAATAAGCAAAACAACTAGTGGGCCTAGGAGTTTGGATCTTCGGTCTTTACTCATTGATAAATTAAACTAATTAGATTATCTCTCAGTTTCACGTACTTCTGTAACAAACGCCACTGATGCAGACAATGATTATGGATATGGAGTACATGTACTGACGATCTTTATTGGTAAATGTTATAACTGAACAAATAAGTTCAGAATTAATACCAATTAAATTAAATTTTCAAAGTATTGCATGAGTATCATACCAGCAAGGTTATTAAATGTATAAAAAATATGGACAGACAAGCCAAATCAAGCTTTAAAATGTTGACAATCCAAACAGAAATGTATGAGATTCAAGCTATTCAGTGTTTTTGTTCGTGTAACATTTAAATTATTAGATTTATACTTTTATTTTTCAAATTTTATTCAACTTAACTTAATGAGATAATTTGATGCACCTGATGTAACAAACGATTTTGCAATATTAGGTTGTCGAAGAGTAAGCGCAGCAATTACACCTGAGATATATTTTGTAACAACAGGACTTTTTATATGGTCTTCAAATATATCTACAATAAGCTGAGGTCCGGAAATACTATGGATTGACCAATTACTAACAGATAGTTTACAAGCATCTGAACCACATAGCGCTTGTAAAAGGACCAATGAAGACGAAACAATAACCTGAGAAAAACCGATACAACGAAATAAAACAAAAGTGGGACAACAGTGGATTATTTGAAATTTAACAATTAAAATAAACTAAGGAGAATTTATGAATTCTACATAGAGTTTGTTTTTATTCGACTGGATTTTGACTTTGAGATAGAATTGTGACTAGCAAAAATATTGATATAATATCCACTGTCATGTTTGCAATTTCTGTCCAATACGATTTAAGTCAACGAAAATTCAATTTGTACACATTTGTTTGTTTACAGCTTTAATTTTAGTGTACTAATTTAGCAATATACTTATTGAATTAATGATATTAATCATACAGAGGTTAGTTTTAGTATAAAATCACTCAACAAAGATATGCAAATTTGCTGCCAATGAAAAAACTTATCAGATTTTATCGTAGATAAAAATACAAACAAATGATTGCTCTTAATCTAACCAACTTATAATAGAGTAAGGTATTTCCACAATTGACTACGTAGGTTATGTGGTAAAGATCAAGTTTTATGTGTAGAAGATCCTTTGCCAAAATATTTCTTCTGAATCTTGGGTTTTATTATCCCATGCTTTCCATTTTCTGGTTTCACCCGGCTTATTTGTACTACAATGTCTTTAAATTTATAATATGGATTCTCTTAATTTTATAACTTACCGAATTGATGTGAAATAGGACTAATTAAACAGACAAAGGTTAGTACTAGGTCTTTAGTTATTCGTGAATAACTGACTAATCACTGTCAAATAACACTTGAAACGAACACCTTAGAATAGCAATGTTAAACAGTTAGAGGTAGTCAATAGGAAACTTTATACTTGAGTTTCATGCTACCTGGCAACCTTCAGTCAAGGTGTAACTGAAACCTTGAGGAGATTGATGCTGCTTTTGTGGATATAAACCCAAGTAGGTTGAATTAACAGTATGAGATATTAACAATAAGCTAATCAGGTCGTGGTTGACCTTCTGTAGGACTGAGATATTTAAAACTGATTGGTCACTAAATAGTGGTTAATGTTGTGTTTTTCTAGTCCTTTAGTGTTAATCAGATTCTATTACTCAAGTTGTTGCCCCCAAATGCCCTGGTATGGCCGAGAGTGGGGGGAGTCCGCTCTCCCTCTCGAAATGCTCTCACATGGCCACGCGTATATAGCCTCTGCCAGGAAAGTCCTACTCACTGCCTTCTCGTGGCGCGGGTGTTGTTTACGAAAATGAGAGGACGAAAAGCGAATGTCCGGCGCTTTAACCGGATCCCAAACCAATGGTGCACATGGGCTCCAGTATCTTGCGGGAACAAATGGCGTATGAACCAATTTCTTGGTCACCGGCTACCATGGGACTGCATCTCCTTACGATGCTCTACTGCCTTGTGGATCAGACGTTCAGGTCGAAGGCTCCGGGTGTGATCCCCTAAGCAAACCACCTGCTTCGGTTTGGACACCCGGGCAGTGCCACACTCCTCACACATATCAATTGAAATCTGTGTGGCGCCAGCTTGTACCAATATCTGTGTTAAAATAAATAAATAATATAAACTCAAGTTGTTTAGGACATTGAGCGCAAGAAAAATTAGAAAAGAACTAAATTACTCAACATTATTATTGAAAGTTGAAGGAAATTTCGAAAGATTAGTGACTATAAAAGTATTAGCATAAACTGCTTACAGTTGACTTTATATTATAATATAGAGTTTGCATTAGTATATCGATGCCGTTAAGTGATGCGAATTTTGTGCACAAATCCTCGCGAGTAATTATAGTTGATAATGTCTGAAATAGGTCAGAAATTCCACTGACATTTGCAGAGTTCAAAATCCCTATAAAAAAGATTAGGAGAAAAATGGATATATGACAGCAGGAAGGAAGAGGAAAATATTAAACACACATGTGAAATATATATTCAAAGATAAGGTAAAGACTGCCATAACATTAAAGGAAATCCCAAGCTAATAATGTCATTAGTTTCGAAATCAAATTTCGAAGTGGAGACATCAGTTCAGTATAAAGTGTAGGATATGATTGGTTACTAGACATCACTACATAATAAAAAGCATGAGTTAATACGTTGTAAAACAAAAGAGTGGAAATATTAATATCGTTTTTTGAGAGAAATTAATCGTATGAAAGATTATTTGAAAGCAACAAATGAAATGGAATGAGAACTAAAAATGCTTAAAAGAAAGATTTAGGGAAAAATTAAATATACTTGCATTAGTCTCAGAAATTTTTAAACGGATTAAAGTAAAATTATCTTGACCAACTAGGCATCCTATGCCTCTAGAAACAGCAGTTTAACAATCTAGTTTTATGGACTGATGCCACGTCTTTACCTAGCCATCGCTATTTTTCTCAATTTATCCCATACACTGATCAGCATTGAGCGTCAACTTAGAATACATATGAGTATAAATATATGGTACTTTCAGTATATTAAGTGACGACTGATTCAAGACGTAAAAGGTGAGTTATATTTCAAAAATTTCGAAATCCTAATTGGGTTATTACTCAAAATAGGGATTTTGAAGTACACTTCAAAATCATAAGCTGGAATTTTATTTTACATACTGTGGTCAAGCAATCGAAAAGCATCACAAGCTTTTGCACAAAACACGTAACCAGAAATACTAAATAAACGAGTACTAATAGTGTTCATATGTAGTCTCGATGAGGTGACTGAATGTCAAACAAGGGAAGAGTAAATAACAGAGAAGGGTAACTTCTTTTACTAAATGGATTTCATAATTGGTTGGTTATCTGAAGAGAACTGCAAGTATACCATTGTCTGAGAATTTGGAGGATTGTTTACACGTGATGGAATTGCATAGTGAGGAACTACAATGTTAGAAGTTGCAGATATTTAAAAAGCTTATGGTCGGCCATATGAAGGTAAAGAACGAACTTTAAAAATTACATAAGTCATAAGTAATATAGGTTAGGAAAAGTCAGGTGAACTTCTTGTGCTCAACAAAATTTTGTTGACTACCGAACCCATCAGGTTTGATGACACATCTGAGACAAGTGGAGCGACTGATGCGCTATTTTTATTCTAGACAATGCAAGTTAGTATTGAATAGGCACTTATAAGTAGTACAGAGAAAAGGTGTTCAGTAGACTGATAGCGTCTCTATAGGATTTTTCTGGGAGCAAGATACTAATGAAAAAAGTCTTATTAGTCAGTTAGACTGTTTATCAGGAACTGATAAATTTTGAGATAGTTATTACTACTGATTAGGATCAAATGTAGCACCATTGAATATAAAGGAGAAAAAGACCAGTGCATCGTCCATGTTTAGAACTCTTCAGAAGTGCTAACTTAACTTTACACTGTATTTTTCCATTATATTACCGTATGGCTTTTGTAGTTTATTTTCTAGTCCGCTACTGAACTAGAATTATTGTGGTATTAATAAATACATACATAGAATTCAGTTAACATGAATCTATGGAGCAAACTGTTTGCCGGTCAACAACTAAACTTTCGAAAGAAAATGTTTCAACCTGATCCTTGCTACACAACTGGAAATTATTAGTACAATAGTCAGTCAGTCAGTCAGTAACAACGTGGAACTTCGTACGTACGTACATCAGTTCGAGTTGCCATACCACATTAGCACAGAGATTCAGTTATCGATCCAAATCCCATAGTGGTAGAGGTACTGAAAGTATAAGTACAGATAGGGGACATTAAGGTTTGATGATGTTATTAAAGGAGTATAGTCCAGTGGAACAAATTGGGAAAGAAAATAAAGGACATGAAGAATTCAGAAGATTAGAGTTTGAGAGAACACAGAGAGTGGATGCACCTGCGCCATTGCAAACGATTTTGAGCCATAGTACAATAAAAACACAATGGATGAACGTCTGCAATTGCTCTTCAACGGTATGCCTCTAGTACTCTTGACCCAGTCCCCAAATAATAGCAACACAAAGCCTAGCCTAGAACTGTGGATATACTTTCTGTAGAAATATTCCTCATCTCATAGTTTCTTTCCCTGCAATTATCGATGGGCTTTAATAATTATAACGAAGTTTACATTAAACAAATATTAAAACCAAGTGGTCGCAAAAGAAACTATCGAAATACAATAAAATATCGTACTGAAATGATTAATAACTGGATTTGTCAACAGTCGGATGTCAAAGTGAGCGACCACTACACAAAACTAATAGATAATCTTACTCTGGTTATCACCTTATCAGAGCTTTTGACAATACTTATAAACTTTAATCAACGTGACATGAATAGAAAACAAGCTATAAAATACTACAGAATGTTTACTTGATATCAACTTGACAAACACTTCTAAACACGAGTCACTTTTAGCTATAGTACGAGCATTTTCACTTCCTAGACCGAATTCAACGTCTAAATCATCATCGAGGGTTAGTGATCGTAGGAATCCACATCCTTCTTTTAATGCAGGATAAAAAGTATTAAAAGGGAGATTGTCAAACAATTCTACAATTCTCATGAAAAAATTTATGGTCCGAGCAACAGTTTGAGTTTGGGAAATAAAAGTTCTATTCCTTTCATTTTTCGTGCAACTAAGGTGTAACACTGAGTAGACTGCAGCAATCAAACTGAATTTTAAATCGGTAGATGGGTTTTCTTCCAATTCATCAATTAATTTGAAAAGTGAATTTATTAACTCTATGGGGGTAAAAAAGGAAACAAAGTAAGATGAGTTAGACATTTTACTATTTGGATAATTTGCCACATTGTAAAAATTGGTATCATTATGACATTTAACAGACTTCTACGAATTAAAGGGTTTTCCGGTATTCGTTGCGACCACCAACTTTTAAATAATGAATTAGGCATCGGCAACACCGGACCTGGTACAAATATGCTATTGGACTTACATCAGTCAGTCAGTAACAACGTGGAACTTCGTATGTACGCACATCAGTTCGAGTTACCATACCACATTAGCACAGAGATTCAGTTATCGATTCAAATCCCATAGTGGTAGAGGTACTGAAAGTATAAGTAGAGATAGGGGACATTAAGGTTTGATGATGTTATTAAAGGAGTATAGTCCAGTGGAATAAACTGGGAAAGAAAATAAAGGACATGAAGAATTCAGAAGATTAGAGTTTGAGAGAACACAAAGAGTGGATGCACCTGTGCACACCATTGCAAACGATTTTGAGCCATGTCATTCAAGGTCTCTAACCATCGGTTGCTATCATCTAGCGGACCCCAACCAGGTAGTCTACACTTATCAACATGGTTCAGTCCACTTGTCAGTGACTTCATGGATTTGTGCCATGTTTTGTTGTAGCCGCCCCTAGCTTTCTTCCAACCTACTCCTACGCCATAAAGCATCGCACGTCGGGGCAGTCGGTGGTCGGGCATAGGCAACACATGTCCCAGCCATCTCAACTGATTAAGTTTCACTACTTCATCAATTGATTTACCATCCTTACCTAGTACCCGTTTCATAACAACTGCATTACTTACTCGGTGGTCCCAGGATATACGAGCGATGTTTCGAAGACACCTATGGTCAAATTTTAGTAGTAATCTACGAATATCCTCTACTCTTACTGGCCATGTTTCACTGCCATAGAGTAGGACGGAACGAACTGCTGCGCAGTAAACACGTCCTTTGGTTGATAGACGGATATCTCGTCTACGCCACAAATGACGCAAGTTGGCAAAAGCTGGTCGAGCCTTTTGTATCCGTGCTGAGATTTCGTCACACACCAAACCACAAGGGTTGATGAGACTTCCGAGATAAGTGAAGCGGTCGAAACGCTCAACTACTTCACTCCCTATCACTAGTTCGGGTGTCGACGCAACTCAATCCTGAAGCAACATTTTGCATTTCGAGGGAGAAAATCGCATGCCGAACATGCTTGCAATGTTGCTTAGAGTGGTCAGCAGACTCTGCATTCTATCAGCGTCTTCACTAAATAGAACTATGTCATCGGCATATTCTAAGTCAACAAGTGGATTTCCCGGTAGAAGTTCAACTCCTGGAAATTTAGATGAGGAAAGTGTCATCTCTAAAAGGACGTCAATGACAAAGTTAAACAAGAATGGAGAGAGTGGACAGCCCTGACGAACACCACTTGAGGTAATCAATTCTGATGACAGTTTGCCATAAGCTCTCACTCGACCAGTTGTGTTCGAGTAGAGAGCCTTTATAAGGTTAATGTACTTTTTTGGTACTCCCTTCAGTGACAAACACTGCCATAGAACCTCACGATCAACAGAGTCAAATGCCGCCTTAAGGTCGAGAAATACTACCATTGTGGGGCGTCTGAATGTGTGTCTATGTTCTAGGACCTGACGTAATGTGAATATTTGATCAATACAACCACGTCCAGGTCGAAAACCAGCCTGGTTTTCTCTAGTCTGCTCTTCACGAGCTTTGGTTAGACGTCGAAGTATTATTGAAGCTAATATTTTAGACACTATATTAGTCAAACTAATTCCTCTGTGATTGTCACAGGAGGACTTTTGTCCTTTCTTATAGACTGGTACAATCAGTGTTGGACTTACATCAACATCGTGAGATCATTTAGATGAATGAGAAGCGGAAGAATTTCTTCAGTGAAGATAATCCCTATCTGTGCAGCAATACAACACAATATACTAGCCTTTTATTTGACAAACAGATACATCGCTTGCGCCATGGGTGGTGCACGTTGGCACTAATCAAGAGGTTGGTGTATTAGCACTTAGTCTCAATTTAAAAGCACGAATGAGTTTGTTGAATAAGTTACTGGATCAATGGTATCCATCAGTGATGCACAGTATATAATCAAACAGAGGTAAACACAGTAATTATGCCAAAAATAATTTATCCACCTCAAACTCCTAACTGTACCAGTAAATATAAGAACTTAGTGAGTAACCAAGGAATAATCTGGAGGTCTATTGGACTTTAGATATTAACTTCATGCACAAACACTTTTAAAAAGGTACTGTTGCAATGAAAACTAGGAATTTTATTCATGTAATTTTTTTGTTGGTTATTTGCTTACTTTGGATATGTTTTTCTCCAACAGATTCGGAATGGCCTTTGATTATTCTGGACAACACATTCAACAGTGACGTACATAGATAATAGTCTCCAACTGGAGTGTACAGATCAAAAAGGTTTAATAAGATATCTACAGAGTTCATATCGATTAGCAATTTGCGGACAGCAATGTCGGAGTTCCCTGGTAGCTGTAGGGATTGCAAGGCTTCCAACAACTGAGGAGTTTCATGGTCAACTTCTAAAAACCTTTGAAGTCTTTTGATGGCTAGGGCACTCGGATGGCCGTTTTCATACTTGATCATATCCTTCACAATATCGGAGAGATCCACACCCTACATGTCGTTATTATTAACTAAACCATCAAAATGTCATTCCAGACCTCTAATGCAAACGTCTGAACGGATTCTGCTATAGCTTCGTCTACTGACAGGTCGAACAATTCCATATTCGACTTTACTGTCTCATCGAAATAACCCTGCGACACTTTCTTCATCGTCAAGATGCCCGCCGTTCTGTAGCCAAAGATTATGTCCTTCACAAAGGCAGTGACCAAACAATTAACTGGAAAGTGATAAGGTCGATACATTCCAAACTTTGTAGCAGAAGAGGTTAGCTGACTTTCTTTTGAGATTCATGTATCAGCATATTTAAGAGTTTGGATGAAGATATTATTTTACCACCATTCAGTTTCAGTTTGGAAAGGACTGGGGGCTTAATAGCCTATGTTAGTCCTCGCAATGATAATCTGTCAATTGATCTAACTTTTTTTTGAAATAGTTGACGAATGGAGCTTCAACCACGTGCTGAGGTGATGAATTCCACTCGTCGATGATTCGACGAGAAAGTCGATAATCAGCTGACAAGTAATTTGTTCTGGGCTTGCGAAAGTTTTTGGAGTGCCCTCGTAAATTCCCTGTTTTGAAAGACGAGAAAAATGAGGGCATACCAAGTAATTTGAGAACTGTAATCAAGTCACCTGTTGTTCTTCCATATAACAACGGTAATAGATTTAGCTTAGCCAGAAGAGTATCATACGGGAGCTTCGCTATTCCGGAGATTAGCTTAGCTGCTGTTCCATGAACCTTTTCTTAAAATTAATTATCTTTTCTTAAGCAGGGGGTAGCCACTCGTATGCAGTATTCAAGTTTATGACGCACGAATATTGTATGCAAAGTCGAAAAAGTCTTGGCATCGACTTGACTAGAGGCCCTACGTATCGACCATAAAGTTCTAAAGCGTTTGGCGGCTATTGTACGACAGTATGCAGTAGTATTTAACCCTTGGATAACGATGACTCCCAAGTTGTTGTATGTCTGGACGACTGGCAGCTTAGTGTTATTCATCATCTATACATCTGTACCTTGATGACCGATATGCATCACAATGCACTTGGAAGTATTTGTCGGCAACTGCCAGGTTTGAGACCATTTGACTAATTTGTCCAGATCATTTCGAAATTCTAAGTTATCACCTTTTACTTCGTATCGCTCTCCATATCTTGACATCGTCAGCATATAGCAAGACTGATGATATTAAGCGAGAAAAGTCATTTACATATAAGAGGAATAACGCTAGCCCATAAGTGTGCGCGCAATTTAAAAGGACAATGACATTTTTCCTCGCTGTGTGAATTTCATTGTCCTGATTTTTTATTGCGTATTACAACTATTGTTTACAATTTAGTTGAATTTACTTGTGTTAAAGTATCCGATAAAAGTATCGTTTTTGCTTCTAAATTAGTTTATCGTCTGTACTTTGAGTACTTTGTTTTGTATTGTATTTGTTAGTACGTTTGGTTCTAACAATTTACAGTTTTCCACTTTTTTGGTCAAAGACCACTTTTGTCTCTAGGTACCATTGCATCTAGTTTCTTTTTGAAAAGCTCTGTTCGATAACTGGACAGTTCAAGAAAAGCTATTGTCAACTTCCGGGCTGTCGATATCCCATTGGAAACGGCATGAGTGCAAAACCTGGTACCATGAAGTTTGTACGAGTTTAACGCCTACAAATTTCAAACGGTTAGTATGGGTTTGCTCGGACGTAAACGCCTTGCTAATCGGAGCCATTCCGATTATACGTGCTCCAAAAGTGTATTAGCAAGCGAGGTCGGGACACATCGGACAACACTAGCTCTGCCGACACACAAATTGATGTCAAGCCACATCAAATTAGCTCGGAAATAGCTGACTCATACCAATGAAAGGAGAGATGACCGTATATAAAAGGGTCTGACCTAAATAAAAACTCAACAAAGAGAGTTTCTTCTGTCCCTTGTCCTCTAACTTGTAGTCGGAATGAAAGGACTAAGAGTTGCAATCTCAAGGCTCAATCTGTTTCTCGCGGGAAACACAATCTGACTTCCCAAGTCTTTAGTAACCTTTCGGAATCTCACACTATCTTTGACACGACTATGGTTGCTACAACAAAGAGGTACAGGTCGACATAACGATATAGAAGAATGTTCAACCCTCCCAAAAGGAATCGATAAGTTGAAGACTGATCATAGTGATAGGTCAGTCAGTTTTTTGCACATAATCAAGGTGAGTGAAAGCTCAGAACCTAAAAGTCGTTTTGAGCATGATATTGGGGTGATACAACAGTTACTAAGTCAGCCTATGCCTCAGAATATCCCCGTAGTCACTTTGCTAAAAGTGTATATACTAGGTAGTGAAGCAAATATAAAACCAAATCAAACCAGGCTGCTTAAGGTAGGATTTAAATCCCCTAATTTACTGGACTTATTTTTACAGAGTGGACATAAGCAAAGTGTCCAGAAGTTTTTGTCTGTAAGGAATTGTCTTTGGCAGACCGTGTAAAGAGACGAAAAGCCGAAAAATAACTGCGACTTAGGTTAGGCGCTGGCGAAAAGGGCCTAAAACTTGTAAATTTTCGGGTTGTGAGGATTCGACAGATAATGATACCGAAGCCACTCTGATTGCGATGCAAAGCCAACTATATAGGCTTCGAATCTGTCACACTAATGTAAGAAGCTTGCTCAACAATCGGTCGGTACCAGATGTACAGATTGACCCTACCAGGCCAGATATAATGGCAGCCACATAAACTTGGCTGACGCAGCCTATAGATAGTATGGAACTTGTTTTTGAGGGGTTCACGTTGGTAAGAGCCGAGAGAATCCAGAAGCATAAAGGATGGGGAGTAGCTCTATGCATTAGGAATACTATCCTGTTTGCCATTATCGATAGTGTATCGCATGAGAGTGAGATGTGTTAACTAGTTAGTTGCCGCTTGAAATGCGAGGGACAAGAGCTGCTGAGATTCAAGAACAGAGAATAAAGTGCGTAGAACACTTTGAAAGACTCGAACGGAATAGCTGCAACAAACCAAACAGAGATCATAGCACAATACACAGACATTTCTATAGATGTCACTCCACCAACGATCAAAGAAATGAAAATGACTAAGAGTATGTAAAACGCCATGTAGTGAACGAAGACTTGAGAAAACTACTTTATTGTTTAGTGCAAAATTACAAAATACTTCCCTAAAATATGAAAATCTACATTAAATAAATTATTTGCACATCTTTACTCGGTTGTCTTCATGATTGTTCCGATTCTGTTGCTACTTAGATTTCCTTCTTTTTTCATCCTATTTTCATCAATTCAATCTTTTCTTGGCAGATATTCTACTTCCTGTTGCTGCCGCATACTGCTTATTTCTGTCAGCACAAGTAGAACTCACCACAGTTTAAGTTTGTTTGATCTTACTATTTGTATTCTTAAGTCCACTGGAGTATCGTTGATAAGCGTTCCCATACATTCGGCCCATAATTAACACTCATTTTATGTTCTGTAAAATCGACACATTTATCAGTCTCTTGCAAGTAGACTTTAGTTTAGATTATATAATATGCATCAGGTTGAAAAAAGTTCTAGAATCAGTCATTTAATATAACAAATGAACTCCGTCTAATAAACTGAGCAATACAACTGATTCTCACATCAAACTCACTATTTCCTTGAATAGCATCACTGTTTATTATTAACAAAGATAAAGAACTGTCAAATTAGTGTGTGAAAAAGTATAGACATGTACGTATATGTATATCAGTATGTGTATGTTTGTGCAGAGTTTACTTGTAAATACAGATACCTAATAAGCAAGCTGGATACCGTGCTGTGTTACTGTTGGTTATACAGACTGTAATGTAATACGAAAGTGACAAAAATATTTCGAACAAACATTCGTAGTGAGCTATTGTTACATGTTTGGAAATACGGAAGGCTTCTAAAATGGATTACTTGATTCCATCTATGATAATATCAAATACTTGTAAAGTTAAATTCCTACCAAATCCCATTCGCACCAAATAAGGTCTAATCCAGTGAAGACGCCACAGGTATTCGAAGTTTGACAACGTTTTAACCAGTAACACTTAATATGAAGCGTACCCAACAAGTGAAATCAAAAGACAGAAGCGAGGAGATTCGAAAATATATTTGATAAGCTATCAACATATCGAAGATCGTCTGAACTAATCTGGCTAGCGATTACAGTAGATGTTTAGCACAGCGTTCCCACACGTGATCTGGTGCGGATGCATGACCGAGAGACTTCAGTTAGATGAGTTCATTAAAACGAATGTGGTCAGCATCCAATGTCGAAAACTTACAGAAGTATTTATTTTGTGGATATATTTACCGCTACAGATCACTTCCGCCCTAGTGAGGTAGTGACGACCCTAAGACGTGGCCAGCCAGAAGATTAAACCCAACGAGTTTGTCGTTGGTAAACACTCTCCTGATAGCTTGCTAGGTTTAGCAGCGTCTGGTCGTCTTTCCTTACTATTAGGGACCATGAACTACAATATAGTAAAAAAGAAAAAGTACGATGAATATTTCCGTTTCTCGCAAACTTCATCGTTCTATTAATCGTCTTTTCCAGCCGTCCTGGAAAAGAAAAAAAATATGTAAGTGCATGTCGAAATACACTCGTACGTGCGTAAAAACACAAAGCGGGCGAAAAATTGCAAATAAACTCGTGTTCACGTAATGGCGTGAAAAAAAGGATTTTTATAAAAAGTTTTTTTTGTTTTTTTTGAAATAAAAAATAAAAATATATCAGCATATTAAATTTTGTTTTTTAAAAAAAATTATATATAGTGCAAGCGAAAATCGAGACGATATAAAATGTCATGTAGTATCTTGCGTGCAGTAATCGTTCAAATGTTCTGGAAATCTTACTCTTCTTCTAGAACGCGTTGTTTTGAGTTTATTTTCTGATACCACCGAAGTATCATCGTGTGTGTTGTCTGTCGATTGAGGTATTATTAGTGCAGGAGTCTTGTCGTGCGATTGTACTGAAGGAAAATCGACGTGAATAGGATTTCCTTCTAAATACGCTGCTTTGAGGCGATTGATGCTGACGCTATCGTTGGTTCCGTTCTTATCGATTGTATAGTACTTGGGCTTGCGTTGAAGAACTTTGAAAGGTCCTTCATATGCTGATTCGAGAGGTCGTCGATGTGAG